TAACTAATTTTATAGGATAAAATTTTATAATTATAAAATGCGGTAAAATATGGGATAAACAAAATCTTTGAAATTTTAAAACATATTTAAGAATTTTTTTAGAAATTGAAATATGTACGCACAATTTGCCTATGAACTTATAGTAAAAAAATGATGAAACTTTGTTAAAATACATCCAACATAATCATCAAAAAATAACAATTCTGGTACAACTTAAGAATAAACGTTAGAATAAATTTAATTTCAATTAACCAAAATTTTTTGAAACATTTTTAAAAATTCAAAAAAAAAAAGAAAACTTATGCATTCAATAGAAGTAAAATCAATAAGATATAAATAATTAATAAGAATACAATAGCAGTAATAATTTTTATGATTTTGTCGCTAATTTTATTTTGTTATAATTAAGATTTTGATTTAATTTTCTATTCCAAGTATGTATATATTTGTATATTTGTGAATAAACAAATATATGCATATTTGTTTATTCATTTGTTTATTTAACTGATTAATCATTTATTTTGTTTACTCACTCATTCATTCATTTAAAATATAAATTTGCAATTTTTCTAGGTGAAAGCTGAATTTTTTTTAGGACAGATTCTTGATTTAAAAATATTCTCAAAGTACTTTGCGAGTAGATAAACATTATGGAATTTCGGCTTTTCTTGATATTTTTAATTCAACCACCTGCTCATGAATTCAAAAAATTAATGACTGTAGGATTTTGTAAATAAACTATCGCTGAAACCATTGAAAAATCAATACCAAAACATTAAAAATATAAATAGCTGCAACAATAACTCTTTATCAGTTATCATAAACAAAGACAAATGATAAGTTAACTTTTTTAAATCTATGTTAAGTGTTAATCAAATTTGGATTAACTTTATTCCATTCACGGTATATTTATAAAACTTAAAACTTCTGAGACAGTTTTATAACTTCTGCGTTTTTAATATATCTAAGCAAATGCAGCAATTTAATCATTTAAATGTTAAACTATGCTAAACTATAAATTTTAATGTCTTATTTAATTAATTAAACCAATTTTCATCCGAGCTAATTAACAAATTTAAATAAATCTTCCTATTCTGTCAAATCTACTACACCTTGTTGAAAATTTGATTCAAATAACAAATATCTTTAAATTAATTATGCATTCATTCCTTTTTTTCAACCAAATTTTGATAAAAATTTACAATCAATTTTTGTGATACTAATCCTTCATTTCTCTAAAATTAGGAATTTTACTTCTTTCTCCTCCAAATTTCACATTTTTTTGTTTACATATCTTAATTATTGATTGTTTACCTTTTCTACTAACTTTTATCTCCTTTTTAGTTAACAACAATCTAATTTCTCTTATTCTATTTGAATAACTTTTTTTTCTTTCCTGGGAAACCAAAGAAAAAATTGGCCCATTTGCATTTCTTCTTAGTCATACACATCGACACTGACAACATTAGCGCCTTGAATCATCGATATGTCATTTGCGCCATCACCAAATTGTTAACACTTTCCCATGTAGGACTTTCTTTACGGTGTCAACAGGTAACAAAACAGGAAAGACTTCTATAAAAATGATAAAATTTGACTAATTTAAAATTCAGTTTAAAATTAATAGTACATACAGCAAATGACTAAAGATTTGTTAATAGAATTAAATACCTTTGAATGCAAAGTTTGTCATTTTGGAATAATATTAATTGATATTTCAAATTATTTCCACATATATATTAAGAAATAAAATACGAATTTAATTTCATTAATTTCAATTTTGTTTCATTTTTAATTTAAATGAAAAAAAAAAAAAAAAGAAAATGAACCTATGTATGCAATTTTCAAGTTCATTTTTGAAATAAATTTTTTTAACTTTTCATAAAAGAAACATTTTTACAAATCATATTTCAAAAAAATGACATTTTAAAAAGAATTTAAAAAATTAAAGGACTTTTTCTTAATTCTCAAAGTTTAATTTTTCAGAAAAAATTCCATTATAACATGAAATTGTTGATAGGATTGGTATACAATTAAGTAAATCAAAACCTATTAATATACTATTTTAATCTTACGTACTAAGCGTAACAAGTTGTACCTTATAGCGTACAACTGGAAATTACGTAGATTACTTGTTGAAAAAAATTGTTTACTGCAGAATAAATACGGATGAGTTACGTTGATTTGATCGATGCTATGATGTTACGTGATTGATGTTATGATGTCACGTGATTGATGCCATGATGCTACGTGATTGACGCTATGATGTTACGTGATCGGTTATTTTTAGGCTGTTTAGTTCAACAAAATGAACCTAATGTTATGCATCTCTAAACTTCATTAATTTAAACATTCACCAGTTTATTTTACTTGATAAGAATATGATGATAAGATTCATCTATATTTAGTGATTTTGAAAGAATATGAAAAGATCGATCAGATCAATAAAATAGATCAGAATTCTAGTTCAGTGATCAACTGGAACAGAACTATCAAACTGAATGATTTGTTTCATGAAACTGTTAATCTGTGTTAAAATTAATTAAAGTCTCATGTTGGACTTATAGCACTGTGAATTAGAATTTGCAAAGTATAGTAAAGGAGATAGGATCACAATAAGTTGTGATGACTTTATCACAAACTAATCAATAACAATCAATCAGTTGAAGAAAAAAAATGATCGTTTAATTAGCTAATTAAGCTAGAAGGGAAGACTTTAACTTCATTTTAGCATTGTTAGTAATACTTAAGAGATATGGATGAGATAACTTTTAAATAATTTATCAATTTCAAATATATTAAAAATAATAAACAGTTTTTATTGTCGTAGAATTTTTGAAATATTTAATTCATTTGTATTCATGTTTGTTTGTAATATATAAAAATTTCATTTCTTTTTTTTTCCAAACTTTGTTTATTTTCAGATTGGATAGATTTCATTTTTTCTTTTTTTTTTAAATTTTTTAAATGAAATAAACATTTAACTGTGCAAACAACAAATGATATAAACGTTACATATCATTGTAATTGATAAAAATTGATAATTTTATTAAATATGAAAGAAGAAAAAAAAAAAATGAAAAGAATGTAATGACTAATTTTTTTTTTTTTAAAAAATGATTTAATAGCAATAAAAATATGATAAATAGAGCTATTAGTCGATTAATAGCAACAAATTATTATTAAAATTATTGATGAATCAGTCACTGAGCATATTTCTATCCTAAAAAAAAATGCTCATTTTTGATTTGAAATTTAAAATTTTGTGCAGAAAAAATTGATTAGAATAAATATGCAAGTCTAAAAATAATTGATTTTTAAGCAATACATTGCATTTTTCTTTGTTTTTTTTTTTTTTTCACTCTCGAAATATTTATTATATTTTAATTATTTTTCATTAACTTAATCATACTTAAATAATCGACGATAATTGTTTGAAAAGTAAACGAACAAAAAAAAAAAAAAAAATTAAGGATGTTTTTATATTTTTGATTCTTGTGGATCGTCCAAAAATCTCTTCTTGGCTTACTTGTTTCAGTGCTAGTGAATAATAGAACTATCAAGGATTTCATGTAATTATCAATTGCTTCAGACTGTTAATTTTTTATCAATTATCAACCCATTCCATCCAACTGATTGCATTTGCATGCAAACTGCTATCAGCTAATCAACCCATTCCATCCAACTGATTGCATTTGCATGCAAACTGCTATCAGCTAATCAACCCATTCCATCCAACTGATTGCATTTGCATGCAAACTGCTATCAGCTAATCAACCCATTCCATCCAAGTGATTGCATTTGCATGCAAACTGCTATCAGCTAATCAACCCATTCCATCCAACTGATTGCATTTGCATGCAAACTGCTATCAGCTAATCAACCCATTCCATCCAACTGATTGCATTTGCATGCAAACTGCTATCAGCTAATCAACCCATTCCATCCAACTGATTGCATTTGCATGCAAACTGCTATCAGCTAATCAACCCATTCCATCCAACTGATTGCATTTGCATGTAAAAGTTAATCATTCCCGCATCCAACAAATACACATGAATAGCCTTTATTCTTTCAGATAATTCAATCAAATTTTCAAATCTTACATTGAAATTTATAAAAATAACATTAGATAAATTGAATTCATAGATTTATGCTTAAGCAATTGTTACCTCTTCCTTAAATTATTTATCAGTCAGTTATTAAATTTTCTCAAATTCTCTTTTTCGAAATCATCGTTGTTTTTTTTTTTTTTTTTTTTTTTTTTTATTTCTGAAAAGAAAATGGAATAAAATGAAATTTAGTGAAAATTTTGCATCAAATTTAAGAATGATCAATTGATCAATTAATCTTTGATGACAGGGAGAAGTGCTTATCATTAGTTGTTGTAATTTATACGGATATCATAATTTAGAAATAAACATGATAATACTAACAAATGTTTGAATCATAGATTTCAAATGTCACAGAGTGGCTTCTCTGTCGTTATCATATCATTTAATACATGCAAGAATTACATTTTATAGAAAAAAAACAGTGATAAGTGTGACATATTGGAGAAAATTATCAGTTTATGAAATGGAATAATCAATAAATTATCAGTTTATGAAATGGAATAATCAATAAATTATCAGTTTATGAAATGGAATAATCAATAAATTATCAGTTTATGAAATGGAATAATCAATAAATTATCAGTTTATGAAATGGAATAACACAGATATCAATGAATTTGTTAACTTTGATCAACAAAGTAAAATTATCTAAGTAATCCAATTGATTTGATAATTATTGTTTATTAATTCTATTATTGTTGTGCATAAAGAGTAAACAAAAAAAAAAAAATTAATAGTTCAAAATTAAACTTTAAGCAGACACGAGTAATTTACACAAGCATACTAATTACTTCAAATTTGAAAGCACTTCAATTACTAAATAATTAAATACGTACACGTATCACACGTTGACTGAATTTCATTTACAGCTTCTCAAATAATCGATCAGTTGAAAAGTGTGCGAATCGGTCGAAAAAATGTTTTACCATTCAATTTTCTTAAATTGTTTCAAGAATTAGACGCAAATTAGTGTAATATAATTTTTGTTGATTTTTATTAATAATTAATTAAAATATATTTTTTGACATAATTTTTTTTTTTTGTAGCTTTTTGTCAAAAATATGGTAAAATCAAAATTTAGAAATTATTTTCTTTTATAAATTCATTATTTGAAATGATTCAACGCTACTTGTAAATCTTCTAATTCAATTTAATATAAATTACACTAACAGTGACCCATCTTACACAAAAAAATTTAAATATTTCAAATTCGTTTTTTTTTTAAAAAAAAAGATACCAAAAGAAATGATTAATTAACTTACGAATTAACAAGCATAATAACAAAAGTTTGTCGATATTTTGAGCTTAAGAAATAATAAGTCATAAAACCAACGTAACAATTAATCAGTGATAATAAATCTAATAAATTTGCCAAATTTCTATACAAAATGCTATGCACATCATTGGTATGCAAAGCATTTAACATTGCTAAAACACCTTGCGGTAATTCTGTCACCTAAAAATTAATATTTTCAATTATAAAATTAAATTATTCCAATTCTAATTTACACAAATGATTAATTTTATTTAATTCAAACAAAACAAAAATCAATCAAATAATTTTTTTTTTTTTTTTTAAGTTTACATTTATTTAAATCAAAATTTAGTATAAATTTTAATAATTAATATTAAAATGGAAAAAAAAAAAAAAAAAGTAAAGAAAGTAAAATTGACCAAAAAGACAGAAAGCATAACGACAAGTGTAAGAGTTGTTCGATCATAATTTCGTTTACTTCTCTTTGCAGCAGCATTACTATTACTTTTTTTACTTCCAATATCATCAGTAAAGTAATACTTTCGAAAAAGTAAATTTTGTCGTCTTTTTAGATTATTCCTTAATCGAAATACTAATAAAATTGTGAAACAGCACAGTAATAAACAAGGTAATGCCTGAAAATCATTTATTTATTTATTTTTAAACATTGTTTACTTCTCTTTGCTATACCATTATTATTACTTTATAAATTTTCAATAAATTATTTCAAATAGTTTTCAACAATTAAGTAATTAATTCTTCAGAAAAGCATAAATTTGTTTATAAATTATCTAATAACTTTGTTCAAATACTATTTTCTACAAATACTTTTAAAATATTATATTGCTTTAAATGTGATCAAATATAAAAAGTTTTTGTAAATTTAAAATTTCAATAAAACTTGACAAATAAAAGGAAAAAAAAAGGAACGAACCTTTAAGGCAATACCTAAAATCCATAAATTAAGTTTGAAATATTTGCAACTATCATGTATTGCCCAATCAGATATATCAATAGTATAAAATAATTGTTCACCAGAAACCCTGAAAAAAGTCTCTTAATGAAGATAAGATAAGATAAGATAAGATCATTAATATCACTAATGATATCTGATTAACTATGCATAAATTTTAGTAGGTCATTTATTATTTACTAGCATTTCTTTCTTAAATTAATTATTCAATATTTCAGTAATTATTTTATATCACATTCAAAAAGTAAAAGATTTGCTTCTGATTCTCTGAAAAAATAATTTTTCATCTTTTTAAAGTGTCAATTTTATTAACCATAAATGAATTAACGATATTTTATCTATTTAAATTCAAAATTTTATATGAAAATGCTTACTCACTTACCATACAACTTTTATTTCATGCACCAAAAAGGTTGGAATGCATATGGCTGACACAACTATTGCAATAATACCTGTTGCACACCTTAATGTCAAATTTCAAGTATAAAAAAAGCATTTTAAAAATTTATTTTACTTACTATAAGTATTAATTTTACTTACATTTTTTAAAAAAAATAATTTTACTTACTTTACTTACTTTTAAAAATAATTTTACTTACTACATTTCAATAAAAAGATTTTTTTTGAAATGTCATCATGAAAATATATATATATTACTGACTAGAAATGAAGTGTTTATGAAGAGAATTTAATTTTAGTAATATCTGAGAGTGTATATGTTGTAGAGTGGAATTAATTGAAAAAAAAAAATGAAGAGTAATTGTTATCAGGAAGTAATGATGATAAGGATGGATAGAGAGCTGATAACTTGATAAGAATTAAAAGAAGGATATATGTAAATGAAGATGAGAAACGAATGTTGTTTGTTTGTTTTTTTATCACACTGAAAAATTTTAAAAATCAGATTTAAAATTGAATTATAAAATTTGAATTTGTATGCTTTGTCATCTTTTGTCAATTTTCATCCATATTTTTTGGTTATTTTCTTTTTTGTTATTGTTGTTGAAAAAAGTCAAAAAAAAAAGTTTTTTTTTTTTTTAATTTCAACATTTTTATTTCATGAAAAGTTGATCGAAAATCTTTTAATTTTGATTTCAATACCATTTTTTTATGTCACAAACAAAATATAATAAAAAATGTTTTTGTTAAAATTTCTAAGAGCAAACAAGCTTGAATGCTTCGAGAATTCTCATTTATACTTAATTGAAGAAAAAAAAAAATAATTTTTTTTTTCTAATAATTCTTGAGAAAGATGTTTAGAAAAATAACTAAATTGAAAATAATTAACATTCTATAAATAATTTTCATACAATTAATTAATTTTTAAACAAAGATCACAGATTAAATTTGACGTAATGAATTTTCTAGAATGTCCAAGATCGTTTGTATGACAAAGAATTTTAGCAAATCAATGGCTAAGAATTATTTTTTTTTTAAAAAAGAAAATTTTTTGAAAAAATAATTTTAAATGTTTTTTTTTTTTTGAAAATTTTTTTGAAAAATTAACTTTAAATCAGTTATAATAATATTATTTATTAATAATTTTAAGCATTTAATTAATTATCAAGCCAACCATGAAGTACTAGGCTGAAAAAGTGAATTTCGAGATTGTGCCAAAGCACTCCAACGAATAATAGCCAACGTCACGCAACAATACAATGTTATTCCGTGAAGTGCTATAGACGTTACGGCATGAATTTTAAGAATTACTACCCACATATAACTGAAATGAAATTAAAAGTAAAAATAGCAAATATTATTAAATAGTTAGAAACTAAAAAAAATTTCTATCTCATTTTGATTATAATAAATTTTATAAGATTTTTACAAATAATTCTTTTAATAAAAAAAGAATCTCAGCAAAATTTTCAAAACTTACATTATTTAGCTTATTAAGTTTTTTACAGTTTAAATTTTAAAATTTATTCTTCTATCACTTTTTATCATTGATTCTCTCTGTTAGAATTTATTAGTACATCTGTTTGTAATTAAAAAATTTTTCAATAATTCGAAAGTTTTTGAAATATAAGCAAAAAAAAAAAAAAGTGAGTGAGTGAGAATTTTGGAAATTACTATAATTTAAATTGAATTTAAATGAATTATATGAGAATGGGAAAAATAATTATCTCTGTTAATTTTCATTATTTGTTTATTAGACATTTTAATAAATTAAATTAGTTAATGCATTACAATGTGATATAGTTTAAATTTAAAAGAAAAAAAAAATGCTACAAATTATGAATTTAATAAATTACAAATTAAAATTAATATTAATTGTTAATTACTTACCTTACTCCCATACCTGATATTGGCATAAGAAATTTAAATTTAACAATATATAAAAGATATGAACTCATCGTAATAATATCACATACAGCAATGACAACTAATACACAATTAACTGCTGATCGTAGCATACTTGGTCTGGTTAATACCAAAATATGAATTATATTTGCAAAAATACCCGCTGGGCAAATTAAAAGGCATACATATGGATGTAATACATCGTATGTTCTGAAATATTTCAATTAAAAATTTACCCAATAATTTGGTAGAAATTATTTGCTAATAATCATTTAATGAAATGTTAATTTCTGGAAAAGCAAATAGTACCACAATGCTATTTATTTTTTTTTTTTTAATTTACAAATATGAAATTTCAAATAAATTCTAACATTAATTAAAATTAGTATTTTTCAATTATATAATAAATTTCATAAGTTAAATGAATTTTATTTATGCAAATAATATAACAAAAATTTTTGCTTAATTTAATTTCAATTAAATTTATCAAACATTTTGAATGGATTATTTACAATTTACAATTATCAATGTTAAATGAAAATGATAAATGATACTTACGATCGAAATTCATAAAGTGTTTGTTGCATTACGATGGAAATATTTTTATCAAATAATGGCGGATCATTCTCACAAAACATTTTTCCTTCTTTTCTTTTCACAATGACATGAAATGAAATGATTTATTTTACTTATTTCAGTATGGGTAAATATTTCAATATTGGGTAAGTATTTCAGTATGGGTATTTAATTTAAAGAAAGAATGCAAATTTAAAACGATGAGAAAAGAGAAAGTTTTTACCTCAAAAGAACAAAAAAAAAAAAAAAAAAGAAAAAAAAAAAAAAAAAAGAATGAAAAAAAATGAAAAAATAAGTAGAAAAAAAAAAAAAAAAGTAAACCATAAAAAGAATAATGGAAATGCAATAGAAAAAAAAAAAAAAAATGTCACTTTGATATCTTTTGGTGACAAAAAAAGGGTGACAGTTTTTTTTTTTTTTTTCTGGAATATTATTTTATTCATAGTACGGCATCAATTTCCCGCATTTCATTCAAATGAGTGTTATTTCCTGTTTGATTCAAATGAAATATAGCATTTTCAATTTGAAATGAAGCGATAAAACTAAAAATTAATATTGAATATTTTGAACTTTGAAGTGGGAAAAAAACTACTTTTTTTTGCAAATAATTTTTTTTTCTTTTAATAATATAAAAAATCATTGTTTAATAAAAAAAAAAGTTTTTCAGTATTTTCTGTGTTTTTTCAACCTTTAAATTTTTTATTACGAATAAATGCATAAAGATCTGTTCAAACTTTAACTAAGAAAAAAAAAAATTTATTAATTAATTTGTTTCTTAATAGAATCAGAATCAATCAATGATAGTTGTTTACATAATATTTTGATTAAATCAAAATAATATATCTTGAAAGTCACAAGTGAACTGCTTCAATCATTCATTTTTAATATTTTTTTTTTTTAAAAATAAAAAAAAATTTATAAAAAATTAAAAATTTTTTATTTCTAAAAATTAAAATGCATGAAACTCTCTGAAGTTTTAATCATTTTTATTTATTGTTTTTTTTTTTCCTATAATTTTAAAGTATTTAAAGTTTTATTATTTGCAAATGGCACTGTCCACAAGGACATTGCATCTAAATGTTATATTTGAATAGTTTCTAAAAATCAAATTAATTAGCAAAAAAGAAAAAACAATCAGAAAATTTTGGCGTAAATGGTTGAAATAGTTTTTGCTGAAAAAATTTGAATTTAAATTTTATATTAAATCATTTGGAGGAATGTAATATAAATCATAAATGATAGCTCTTTTCAAAAATTAGCAGTACTGTTCTATTTTTGTCAAATTTCTGAAAAATATCCTTTCCATTACTTTTACAAATAGCAAAGTTTTTGGAATAATTAGGCACAAAAAAAAAAAAAAAAAAAAAATTAGAATTTCTAATCATTTCATTTGGAAAATTTTTAAAAATTACCAAATACAATTTCAAATTTAATATTTTATAAATGTATTTTGTGGCAATAATTGCTACTATTCATCGAAATAACATAAATATATGATCAAATTAACAATTTTATTTCTATTCCATTTTCAAATGCATAAAAAAAAAAGAAATAAAAATAAAAAAGAAACTTTAATTTTTGATAATGAAAAAAAAAAGCTAAAAAAATGCTATCATATTTTATGAAATGACTTTTAGTTAAATGCATCAATGATCATTTCACAAATATGCTAAATTATTTTCGATAATCCATTTATTATCTCATATTTCAACATTACTGTGCAAATGCTTTCATTAATTAAAATTTAAAACGAAGATCAGTTAAGCAATTTATAAGTTTTTAAAATGCAAACAAAAAACAAAACTGATACTATAAAAGGGAGTAATTGTAAGAGAAATTATGTTTACTACTCGTAGTAGCATTAAGCTTAATGTTTATTTCAATTTTCATAAGTGCAATTTAAAGCGGATGAAGCGCAATATTCACGCTAATGACAAGTTGAAAAGTAATTGTAATGCTAATTTAATGCAATATTAAAAAGGTATGCAATATTTTATGGTAAGTAAAACGATTTATCTTTACAAGTTAAGTTAGTATTATAAAAGAAATTAGTAATTTAAAATGGTTCCATTGGGATTTGAAAATTTTGATGGCGCAAAAGAATGGATAAAATATTGAAATAATTTGTAAACATGTCGAATATGAAGAAAAATTATTGCTACAATTTTAGTTAAAAACTTTTAATGCAATAATCAAACCAAATTTTTTATGTCTAAAAACGAAGTATTACAAATTTAGAAAAGTGTAGGAGAAAATGAATTTAACATTATTTTACTAATTTATTTAGCAATCTAAAATAGGCTATTTTAAAAATTGTAAGATTAAATTTTACATCCAGAAAATGACAGCAAATTTCAAATAATTAATTTATTCTCTTTTGATTTTTATTTTCTTTTGAATGAAAAAAAAAAAAAAAAATTTTCAAAATGTAACAAATGTTTTGCTATTTTTTAAAAACAAAAAAATATATATGAAAATAAAAATTAGAATCAAAAAAAAAAAAAGAAATAAGGAAGTGATTTTCTCTTTTGAATTAAAAAGGAAAAGCAATAATATTACTTAAAACTTTGAATGAGAAGTTGTAATTGCGACAAGCTAATTTACTAAGAGAAAATCATTTTCATTGGCAAAAAGTTTTTACAAAGAAAAGAAAAAAAAAAAAAACATTAAATCTATTTCGTTGCAATAAAATTAAATTTGATGAATTTAATTGATCAAATTTAAAAGATAAAATTTTTGATTAAATTCATAAAAAATATTAAAATATATTTCGATAAAAGTTAGTGTAATGATTAAAATATAAATTTTAGTTAGAACGAAATTTTTGAATAAATTAGGCTATGAATGAATGAATGAATGATTTGTATGAATTATTAATAGCTCATAACAATGAATAAAAAATAATATTAAATTAAATTTTCAATTTTATGCTAATATTTTTATCAATTTCCATGCTCAATCATATTTCTTTAAAAAAATTTCTCATAGTATGCGTTGCATTAAAAATTAGAAATAGTTAAAAAAAAAAAAAGTTTTTTAAAAACATTAAAAAAAAAAAAATTAGAAATAGTTAAAGCGTTAAAATTAATTATACAAATTTAAATTGAAAAAGTGCTCTCATATAATTATGTGAAGCATAAAATAATAATTATTAAATGTACTTTACCTTCATTTTACACTAAAAAATTATTGGAAAATGATTTTAAAAAATCCCAAAACATTGGGAAAAAAGAAACTTTAAAATGTTTTATTTTTATTTATTATCATTTAACAATGAATGCTTTTATAATAAATATTTAATAATAATTTCATTTTTTTGTAAATTTTTAAATCTGAATGCGAGGAAATATTTGTAAACAAAACGAAAAACATTACTGAATTAATTAGTTCCAACTCATTAGGTATATATGAAAATTAGTGAAGTGTTAAACTGAACACAACAAATCAAACATTTTCATCTCTAACGAACTTTTTTTAATTTTCAAATTAACAAATTTAATATAACTACAAAATCTTTCATCGATCTATCATCATTTTTCGGTTTTGACGTATAAATATAATATGATCTCTTTAATTTTAAAACTATTTGTCGCCAATTTGACCTATTACCTTTTCTATAATTTGTGTTTTCATCTTCGATGACAGAAGCTAATGCTTTATCTCGAATAAGCCAAAAGAGAGAGGGAGAAGAGGAATATTTGATATTCAATAATAAAATATTTAATTCAATTTCCTTTTATCACTACCATTCGATCATTTTTTCATGTCATCATGACAACAGACTTTCTGGCTCTAATTAGCCATTCAGATGTGCCGAAAGTTCCAAGTTCCAATGATAGCTTAAAATCAAAGTAGTATTGCTATTCGCTTCTGTGACAATTAGAAGAATTAAAAGCAATGCTTATGGAAAAAAAGATAAAATTGTTTTTTTTTTTTTTCAACGACAATTATTGCTTTGAGCATAAAAATAATTCAAAAGAAATTTCAAGTTGAATATTTGATATGTAAATTAAATTTTTGAATATTTAATTGAATGTTTTTCAAAAAAAAAAAAAAAAAAATTTCTGGGAATACTGAAAGAAATGGATATTTTAAGAAAATTAGCCAACAAAATTGGATAATCGTTTAAAGTTTACTCTTTTATTCCTTTGTAATTATCAATTGTAATTGTATTTTGCAAAAAAAATTTTTCTTGGCAATATTCTAATTTGTTAAAATTTTGTTAAAAAAAAAAAAAAAAAAAAAGAAAAAATTAGCATTGGATAGTACATTTCACATTATTTTTTTTTTTAAAATGAATGAAACGAAAAATACGCATTTCGATTAATTTTAGTTCTCATTCATTTCACTCACTTGAAATTCTCTCGAGAAAGCGACATTAGAATTGAATTGAGAGCGCAATATTCCAAGCGAACAACAATTGAAATAAAGAAAGTAAGAATAGAGGAAGAAAAAGGAAATAATGGATTGATAGAAAAATTTTTATTTCTATGAAAAGGAAAAAAAGCGAAACTGAAATGAACTTAAAATGATTGTAATAGTGAATAAAAAGAAAAAAAAAAATTATATTAAAAAAAAATTTATTGCAAGTTAATCGCTCATTTATTAAATCAAACAAATTTCTTTTTTTTTTTTTTTTTTTTTTTTTTTTGTATGAAAAAAGAAAAATTGCTTTTTTGATTGATAAGAAAATATCATTGCATGCTTTATGAATTATCATTTATCATTTACTATGTTCATAACCACTGATTAATTAATGTTAATTTTAAATAACTTATTCAAATGGTTTATATTAGTAAATGATTAATGTTTAGCAAAAAGCTAAAATTGATATTTTAGCATTATAATTATGAGAATAATAACATAAAATTCCTTTTAATATTATAAAAGAAATGGAATTTGTTAATAAATAGAAAAGAAAAAAAAGAAATGAGAAAACGAAACGGAAATTATGAAATGTATAATTAGAATATGTGCTATAATTAACTAAACAATAATTAAATTTATCAATTTAAATAATAAATGAACATGTGCTCGGGTTGCTCACAAAGATTTCTTTATA